AAACTTGGTATACATCTCAAGGATGGGCTTCCTGGGTTTCCTACCATACGTCCCTCCACTTGCAGCATGTAAATCCCCAGAGTGGTTCTCCCTGCACTTCCCCAGACCCCAAAATCTTCAGTTCCTCACACCCCTCGGTTTTGAAAGCCATGGCATGAATTTAAAGCACAAAGAAGCACAGGGGTTTTCTCGGGAGTGTTATTCAGAGTCCGGAGGCCTGAAGGGGTTCTGATACCAACTCTTTCTTTCTCCAGCACAGTGACCTTGAATGGGTCACCACCCCAGTTAGCAGTTTTCTGTGACAAATGAGGGGATCAGACTGAGTGATCCAACTTAACCAAGATTTCTTCCTGCTGCCAAACCTCACACCAGCTGTGAGTACAGAGGGCCTCAAGAGAGGGGCCTCACTCTTGAAGCCAAAGCTCACTGAGGAAGGTGCGTCTGACCAACGCCATGACTCCCTAAACCTGAACTCCCCTGTGGCCATGAGAATGCCAGGAGAACATTTCCAACCCCAGGGATGGAAAGACCTGGGCTGTGGTCCTGCCAGGGTATGTCAGAGTGCAGCCATCTTGGAGATGGAAAATGATTTGATCTGGGTTCCTGGCCAGCAATGGGCTACTCAGTCTTCAGTTCTTGGCTGCAACCACAACCTTTACCCTGCTGTTTCAGCTTCTCTATAAACTCCCCAGATGATTCCTTGCCATCGGGAATCTGCCCACCTTTGACAAATAGCTGTATGGGTGGGACATTGCTTAAAATTTTTAGAGTTTTAATAAGTCTTTAAAAGGTCACAGGGAACAGGGGGAAGAGGAAGAGCATGACCGACTGCCCAGGGGCAGCTCAAGCCTGTTTTACCCAGGGCAACTGCGAAGTTGGTGTGGCATCCATCTGTTTTGTCACTGGGAATAAACTGTGCAGCTGTGGATCTTGGGGTGGCAGGGTTGCCATGATTTATGGTTGTGTGGTCAAGTTCGCAGCCACAATCCAGGAGGGAGCGAGGGAAAGAGGGCTGCAGGAGAGAAGGGCTGGCATAGCGCTTTCTGAGTGTGTTTCATGTTTAATGCTTTTAACATGGGTGCCTCATTCTTGCTTCTAGAAGGCTCTTAGAAAAATAGAAGCCACAGACAGACTGCCATGCGTAGCTGACCAAACACACATGGGGGGTGAAGGTGGTGGGGGGGTGTGTATGTGAGGGTTATGGTTGTTTATGGTTGTGTTATATCCAAGCTCTAGGACAGTGTTTATTTTAAAATAAGAAGCATGAGTTACGGATACTTTTAACCCAAGAGAAGATGTGGAGAGTCTCTCTCATTTATTTTGGCAAGAGTCTCTGACATTAGATACGTGCTCTCTGGGCCTATTCCCAGTCAAACACTCTGAAGACAGGATTTATGCTCGACATGAGGCACAACCCAGGTGCATTCACATCCATAGCCGGGCAGTGCATCCTTAAGAAATTGGGAGTTGAGCAAGGTAGACAAAATGTAACACACAAACACATTGCAGTGCTTTGCAGAACAGGAACAGCTTCTAACTTTCGAGACACTTACTGTGGCCAGCAAGTTGCTGTGTTTAATCTACACAACTATATCTTCCTGAGTGGGCACTGTTATTGCCCTGTCCACCCACGGGTTGTCTTCTTAAGGCTCACAAGATGACCAGGGACCACAGAAAGTTCTGGGTCCATTCAAAAGGACAGAGGGCAGAGCCACAATAGGGCAGCATCCATCTGTTCCAATGCAGAGAGACAGGGGTGGGGGCTGTCCTGGCATAAAAGGCCCACCCGACAAGAGGCAAAGCTCTTATAAAATTCCATAAGCAAGAGGCTAAGGTAGAAGGATCACAAGCCTCAGCAAAAAGTGAGGTGCCCAGTTCTAAGATAGACAGGTATCCTGATTTGGGTTTCCTGAAACTGCTATCAGGTATGTACAGATCATGTCTAGTTGTACCCAGTCATGCAGGAGTCATCTTTATCACATAAGTTAGTGTCACCTAGTAGCATCGTTGACATACCATCGTAGTGTGTTGCCAGTGTTAACCAAAAGATCAAATTCTCCTGCAGAAAAGATTCCTTACCTACAACTATTGCAGCTTGAGCATCCCTGATCCAAAATGTTCCAAAATCAACAACCTAATCTTCAGATTTGGGGATTACCTATGCCTAACTGGCAAAGTCTCTGCGTTTGGAGTCTATGCAGATTCCAAAATCTGAAACAATTCTAGTCCAATATCTTTGTATTCTCATTAGACAGAGAATGAAGCTGAGGTTTAGAAAGGTTTATCAACTTACCTCAAATCACATAGTAAATAACGCAGCCAGGGTTTAAATCCTGGTCTGACTCCAATTAACGTGCTTTTAACTAAAGTGCAAAATGTGAATTTTTTTCCAACCCCTGTAGCCTGTTTATTTTGCTATTTGATAAAGTGGTTTGAATTACCTACCATTGAGGACACTGGGTCTTCCTGGTAGAAGCAGCATGTTTATCCTGTGGTCTTGCCCACTCCCAGGCACACTCTGTAACTCCATTTGAGAAGCACAGCACCATACTAGTAGCAGTTCTGCTGAAAATAATAAAAGAAAGCACTAGTTACTTGTTTTTCTCTGAGTCTATATTTTGAGTAGAGGTTTATGAGAAGGGTAAAAAACGATTTAAAAGTTAAAGAACCAATTTTGCCTCGGAAAATAAATGAGTACCTACCTGGTTACCAGGTGCAAACAATTCGAATTCCTTTGCATCGACAGTCCTTTCTTCTTTTTAAATCATCAACATCTTGTAGCACAAAAATCCAAGAGCTCAAGGCAATGCATGTAGCTTTATTACAGTTCAGTTCAACATATAAAATCCAGTTTATATATCTGGATTGTGTTGCAGGAGCCATTCAAGAAGTGTGCCATCCGTGCTCCAAGTATAAAAGTAGGAATTTTAAGACACTGTAACAATATTACTGTTGTTTCATTGGGTGTTAATTGACTCTAAGCTTTCACCAGGCCTAAAAGCTATCTATTGACTTCCAAAACTTCATAGTGTAGTGAAGAAAAAAATACTAAAGAATTTTGTAAGCAGAATGTAAAGTGGATTGTGTAAAACACCATGATTAAGTGCAATGGAATGAGTTCACGATGAGTTGTACTGAACTAGCAAGACACAACTGAAGCTGGAGGAACACGGGGAAGACTAAAGAGGGTAGGGTTCGGCCTCTCAGCCTAGGTGGGCACAGGTGTTTGCTAAAGGTAATCCTAAATGCTTTCAGATACCCTGTTCACTGTGCTTTCCGTCAGAATGTTCAAAAAGGCAGCTGGCAAAGTCTGCCTGCCAATAACACGGACAGACGTATGTTCTTTAGGTAAGAGATACCATTGCATAGATTGTTTTTCCTCTCATGTTACATGAGCTTATGAAACATTGGATTATACAGGGAGAAAAGCACAAAGTTTGAATATTATTAATGAGACAAGTTTTGGAAGAATACCTCAGAAATTTCCAAAGTGAAACTAGGAGGAAATGTGGTCTTTCCTTTTCCTTATTTCCCCATATTTTTGATTGGTGTATAACAACTGTATATAGTGGTGGTATTTGTTGTTACATATGTGTGCATGCACACGATATAACAATATAATATAGCCATGATCACTTCCCAGGATTTTCCATTTCCCTTCCCTCCTCCCACCCTCTGGTCCCTTTTCTCAACTAATCTCCCTTCGATTTTCATGAGACAGCTCCCCCACCCCCACCCCACCTTTATTTTCCTTTTTGCCCTCTAGTTTCCACATATGAGAAAATGTATGATCCTTGATTTTGTGAGTTTGGCTTATTTCACTTAACGTAATGTTCTCAAGTTCCATCCATTTTCCTGAAAATGACATGATTTCATTCTTCTTTATGGCTGAATAAAACTCTGTGATGTATCTAGACCACATTTTCTTTATCCATTTACCCCCTGGTTGACACCTAGGCCGCTTCCATAGTTTGAATATTGTAAATTGTGCTGCTGTAAACACGGGTATGCATGTGCTGATTCTAATTCTGGATAAATACTGAGGAGTGGTAGGACTGGGTTATATGGTGGTTCCATTCCTCATCCTTGAGGATCCTTCATACTGATTTCCATAGTAGTGCTTCTAATTTACAATTCCACCAACAGTGTAAACATATTTCTTTTCCTCCACGTCCTCTCCAGCATTTAATTGTTTGGCACTCATGATGGCTGCCATTCTAACTGAAACATGATGAAATCTCAATGTAGTTTTGATTTGAATTTCCCTAATTGTTCAAGATGTTGAACATTTTTTTCAAATATTTGTTTGGCCTTTCCCTTTCGGGTAAGAAAAATCAGAAGATAAGCAGATCTCTGGTGGTGGTCCTCTCGCACTGCTCATGTCCCCTCCTTTTGAATCCGCTTGGGAAGATTGATGTGGTCATTCTGCAGGTGTTTACCCAGTAGGATGGGTCAACTGTCGGGATAGAGTCTGGCCATCGTAGCCAGGGAGGCAAGACTGCAAGTAGCCAAGAAAAAAAAAAATTAAATTCAAGTAGCCATACGAGAATCTGGAGTAATACAAAAAAGAATCAGAGTTTTCATGAGGCCAGATATGTTAAGAGGTAGGAGGGTCAGCCCCGCCAGCCTGCAGAGAAAGGAAGGGCTCCATCAGGGGTGGTGGGGGGCTCGAGGATGGGTCCCTGTGGGTGGAGAAAGGGAGGACCTTCCGAGCAAGAGGACATCTTGGAATGAAAGGCATTGTGGTGGGTACAGGTCTGACCTATGTGTGGAAGTTTCCTGGCAAGGAAGATTTGCCTGACCCCCGTCTCTGAGGAGCATGAATTAGACTGGAAGATTCCATTGCAGAGGATCAAGGAAGCTGCTAGACTTTGAGATGGGGACTGACCTGTGGCCCAGCTCCTGTCCCTGGGCCAAGAATTTGTCAAACTCAGTTGACCATCGTGCCTCCTCCTGCTCCCTAGATGGCCTGCCTTAGTTACCCTCTGTTGTGGTTTCAGATTCATGACGGATGCTGCCCGCCGAGAGCAGGAGTCTCTGAAGAAGAAGATCCAGCCGAAGCTCTCACTGACCCTGTCCAGCTCCGTGTCCCGAGGGAATGTGTCCACCCCGCCACGCCACAGCAGCGGAAGCCTTACTCCCCCCGTGACCCCACCCATCACCCCCTCCTCTTCATTCCGCAGCAGCACTCCGACAGGTGAGTGGCTCAGCCCTGCCTCAGGGAGAGGTGCCCTGCGGGCTGGGAACATGGGATGTCTCAGATCTGATGACTACTTTGATTCTTTTCTGGCCTCTACAGAATGTATGGATTCATTTGATCTATTATCGAAGAAATGTTTATAGATGATTAATATGCATGTGATCATGACTTCATAGATCTTTTTAAGGCCTGACCATTATGCGTGGGTGAAGTGGTCGATGTCTTGGGTTGGCTTTAGTCGGTCAAGTACTACATGAACCCAGATAGCCACTTGTTGGTTACTGTTGAAGCCCAGTGATGGGTACGTGGAGGTTCCTTATACCATCTCCCTGTTTTTGCAGGTGTTTTTTTTTTTTATTATTAGAAAGTGATTAGGAATTAAACTACATTTAGAATGTCCAGACACGGAGCCACAGTAGGAGCAGAGGGGCTCCTCTCTGTCTTATACCTCATGGAGGATATTGGCATCCTCCCAAAGGTGGAAGTGATTAAAAATTAAAGTGAGAGTTGGCATCAAAGATGAAAATATCATCTCAGTGCATAAGACTGAACTACAGGATGGAGCTTAGACCTGTGACAAGTGGCTTCTTGGCACGTCTACCCTGAATTCCACTTATTTCCCAAACTTCCCCTGAGCTGAGCTCACTGAGTTGTTCTTCCCTGTTCCTAGCTGTGAAGTTGCTGGTTCTTCCCAGCAGAAGTGCATAAAGATGGTGGAAGAGGCTGGGAAGGTCCCTCTTCTTTGTCCTGAGAGGCAGACAATGATTTCCCTTCACCAAGTAGGAATATAATTGAATAAAAACAAAAGCTATTAGTTGAATAAAAACAAATATATAACATTGTCATCATGAGTGCCTCCAGAGAGAAGCTTACCTGGAAAGGTAAATGGGACTCAAATACAGAAGGAGGGAAAGAAGAAGCATGCTAACCAAGAGGGTTGCCTTATGCAAAGGCTGTGTGGTGGGGAGAAGCCTGGCAGGGCCAAGAGCAGGCCCAGAGGCCAGGATATAGGAGGTGGTAGAGGAGGTAGCAGGGCCTAGCGCATCATGGGTCTTATTAGAGATTCCAGTTGACTCTAAAATAAGCCACTAACAATCACACCATCATCTCCTTAGCATCATCTCATCAATGGTTTTCTCTTACAGTTTATATATTTCTTTTTATCCATCTCCCATCAAGGAGGTGACCACATTCATATTTCTCAAAATGTGTTTTAAAATGTTAATTGCACAAAATATTAGGATTTCCTCATAAGTTTGGGAAGATATTAAGCAAAGTTAAGCAAGTTTCTTTAATGCTGGGCTTTAATACACACTGTTATTCTCTTAAGGGGTGTGAGTTTGTCAGCTTTCTGAGGCTATGATAAAATACCTGAGGGAAATTGACTAAAAAAGGAAAATTTAATTTTGACTCTCGGTTCCGAGGTTTCAGTCTGTGGTTGCTAAGCCCCATCACTTGGGCCTGAGGTAAGGGAGAACCTGGTGGGGAGCACATGGGCAAGCAGAGCTGCTACCTCATGGAGGTTGGGAAGAGCGAGGGAGGAGGGTTCAGAGTTCCAATATCCCCTTCAAAGGCATATCCCAGTGACCTCACTTCCTTCCAGTAGACCCCACCTTCTAAAGACCCCACCACCTCCCAATAGCGCCACAGACTGGTGACAAGTCTTCAGCACAAAGCCTTCGGGGGACATTTCAGATCCAAAGAGGGGGAATTTACTAAGTTCCCCAAATTTAGCTGCTCTTATTGGGGGACCTCTTTTTTCTACTGGGCACTCAGGGACTCAAGGTTGAGGCACCCTAGATCCAAGGAAGACTGAGCATTTTGAAGATAGTATAGGTGTGGGAAGCAGAATGATCCGAGTCCCCTCTCACAAACCAGCGCTTTCCTTTACAAATGGCATTAGTGGCCCCCAGAGGCTCAGGTGTTCGAGGCTCAGTTGCCAGCTTGGCACTCTCAGGAGGTGGTGGAAACTTGAAGAGGTGGGGTCTAGTGGGACACTTGAGGTCATGGGGGTGTGCCCACACAGAAGGATCCGGGGATCTCCATCTCTTCCTCTTTCTCTGTGGCATCGTGGTCCTGAGGTGAATGGTCTTGCTATGCCACAGTCCCCACCGTGTTGGGCTGCCCCGACACCGGGGTCCTGAAAGCAGTTGGGCCACCTGATCATGGACTGAAACCACAAACCAAAATAAACCTTTTCCCTTCATAAATTCATCATCTTGGGTATTTGTTCCAGTCATGGACAGTTGTGTCACACACCAATTATACCCATTATATAGAGTTTTGTGTAAGTGCAAAATGTAAATTGCTTGTGTATAAATCCAGCATTCCATACATTTTATTTTGTGAAGAATGACTTTCTGGGATCTTTGGGTAACAATTCTTGTGAAAATCTAAGGAGTGAAAGAGAAGAAGGTTTTGAGAGCGCAATGTGTTACTGCGATCCTCTTTTCTGTGTATTTCTGTAGTGTTGGTTCATAGGGATATGAACGGGGTGCGGGGGAGTCTCAAACTGGATGTATTTCCTACCTGAGGTAATATGGACTGACTCATGTCCAACGCCAGATACACAGGACTGCCCCAATTAGTTACGGGCACCTCAGAACCCCATGAAAAGAAAGACACTTCAAAGTGAGGGTTTATTATTTTTCATGTAAGAATGTTTGGAAGAAATGGAATCATTTCCTTTCCTTCAGACGCAAAGAAATCTTTATGACACCTTACCATTTTAGCAATTTCCCACTGAGAGGATTAATTTATGTTGTGGTACAGATGTATCATTTTTGGTCTGTCAAGATCATTGGTAAGTTATTTGCTGCTTGAGGAACATTCCATGTAAACATCAAAAATTAGCAGAGGAAATGGTTTCTTAAACCCCTACCATGTACAGTTTTGATTGTGTACATTTTTCAATGTTCAGAATGTTATTTTACCTGTAGTTACAGAGATCAGCTTATTTGGCTTGACTCATGTGGTTCCAGTCACTTTCTTTGCCAGGTTATAAATAATATTTCACATTTCTGCCTCCTAAATTCACTCTTCCAAGTTCCATATTCAAGGTGCAACCCTGGGTCAGAAGACAGTTACCTTGTAGGAAACTCCATTTGTAAGATAGGAAGGCATGCTTTCTTGAGTAGCAAAGAGTAGGGCTTAGCTTCATTCTAGATTTTTTTTTTAATATTTCTTAGGTATTCTTGGGATCAACACGTTTTGTGGTTTCTCTTGTGATCTACCTACAGACTCCTGAGGCTGTAGTTCGGTATTTCTAACAGGTTCTGCCCTAAAGAGTTGAATGTCAGGATGGCGCCTAGGAAACATTTCCTAAAATCTTCCTGTTAAGGGTACAGTCTTGGGACTGGGGTGTGGCTCAGTGGCAAAGAGCTTGCCTAGCACACGTGAGGCACGGAGTTCGATCCTTAGCACTGCATAACAAATAAAATAAAGGCATTCTGTCCATCTGCAACTACAAAAACTAAAAAATTAAAGAGTACAGTCTTGATTTGCATTTCCCTTTTCGTATAAATGCTGTGTCTTGTAGCTGGAGGGAGAATGCCTAGACGGTCTGATATCCTTCTCGCCTTGGATTCGGGGTCACTACAGACCCCTTCCTGACCTTTGGTGTGTCTGCTTGTGTCTTTATGCACCACCTTGTTCTCTGTGTTGTCCTTTCATCTACTTTCTAGATTGGCTAACAAGACCTTTATCCTAGTCTAGTCTTTCAGTTTATTCTGCTTGCCCAGCGTCTTCTGTATTTAGGCTCTTCTCACTACTCCAACCAGGAAAGCGTCTCACGTATTTTATAGAACTACTGTATACCACTACCAGTTATAAGATACCTTCCCTCAAAAGTTTTCTTGACATGAAGAAAACAATTAAATCAATGGTGATTTGTGGTAATAATAAATAATACTAGACTGTTTCTTCATAACACATTATAATGCGTCTTCTGATCATTATAAACACTCAGTGGGACACAGGACAAGCCTCATACCCCACTTTAAAGACAAAGTAGTTAAGACTCAATTAAACAACTCTCCCAGTTTGGGGTGTTTCCGAGCATCAGGACCTGTTCACTGTACATAATTTATTGAGCATCAATTTCGTTACGAGGCATTGCACCAGGTATCAGGGATGCAGAAAAGCATGAAGCCTAGTCCTCATGGGTTAACACTCGTATCCCTTAGCAGGTGCAGGTGAAGCACATGTAGGAGAGAGCAGACGTGATGTGTACACACGGGACCGTCACAAGCACCAATGATCAGTGAGACATGGTAGAGGTACACACAGGGTTATTCTCTCCATGCTGTTTCCGTGCTGCTATAAGGTTCAAGAAATTTCTTACATCATTGTAAGGTAAATGTAAGTGCCAAAGAAGTTGGAATAAGGTGATGCTGGAGAGAAAGTGACTTGGACAGTTTTATAGCCCATGATCACTATGGAGTATCAGCTTAGAGTATTAGTGAGCAGACCTTAATGGGTTGACAAAAGGTGGTCTGTAAATCTTGAGTGTTCCAGGTCGACCTTCAGAGCTCTGGGAGCATGGAGGTATAGTGACCTCAGATGAGTCTAGTTCTGCTACTTGGCAGACAGATGGCCTGGAGCCCTTCTAAGCCTTAGTTTCCTCAACTGTGCAGGGCAGCTGTGCCTGCCCCAGAGTGAGGTTAATGATTGAGGACATGTCTGGAAACAACTTCTTAACATCCTCTGTACTTGAGCCTCAGGTTCAGAAGGGACATCAGCTTGAGCAGAGCTACTCTTCTTCCTCCTGGCTGTCAGTGGTGGCCATGGCTGCTGCTGTCAAGATTAGTGAGGACTTCCTTTTTGTTTTGGTACTTGTGATTAAACCGAGGGGTACTTAACCACTGAGTCACATCCTTATCCCTTTTTATTTTTCATTTTTGAGATAGGATCTCATTATGTTCTTTAGGGCCTTGCTAAGTTGCTGTGGCTGGCCTTGAACTTGCAATCCTCATGCCTCAGAGTCTTGGGCCACTGGG